TAATTTTTCAATTACTTTTTTTTATTAACTTAACCTTTGATTCAATTAATTTCATTATACATTAACTTGTATCTTAATTAAGCTAAATTTTCAAGGTTGTTAACTTTAACTTAACTTAGTTAAAAGAAAAAATTAACTTACCCAACCCTGAGAATTGACTTTTATTGTGACCTATGTACGCGGTTAAAGTCTCATTACAAATATTTTGAATTTAATTGATCATTAGAAGAAAGAATTTTACTAATGGTTAAAGAAAAAATGCCTGTAGAGGACACATCTTTCTTGTTGTAGTTTTTGTATGTTTTTATATATGCAATTATTTTGCACGAAATATAAATTGGAAACAAAAGATAATTCAAAATTAGTACTTTTTTTTAATAAAAAATTCATACTGAGATGAAAATAGTAATAAACATATTTTCAAAATCTGTATATTGATGTTTTTTTATTTCAAATTTGCATTCATATAATTGGCAAATTTTCAATGGCCGATCTAAAATGGCAGTCAAAGTGACTATCAGGTATGTTTTGATTATTATGAAATATAAATTCTTAATATTCTTAATTCTTTGTATTCTTAATATTCTTAATATTTTAAATAAATTTTTAATATTTTTATGTATAAAATTTTACACATACGTATGTACATATATATAAGCCAGAGTTAATTTTTTTTTCAATTTAGCTGCCATTTTGAGTTCATTATTTTGATTTTTAAACTTTAACTTAAGATTTGTAATCAGCGACCTCAAAAATCTCTTTGTACTAAAATTCAGCTAAATACGTTCAGTAAAAAAATTTGCACAACAAAAAGGATTAATATGGTATTAAAGGCTGCGTTCAGCAGACTCAACAGTTTTGCAACTGTTTTGTGATTCTTCGCTAAGGTAGGACTATTCCTTTAAATCTAAAAGTATAATCCAATCAGCGCGACGAATCATAAAACGGTTGCAAAACTGCTGAGTCTGCTGAACGCAGTCAATGTTACAATAGAAATCATAGCGATCGTAGAATCTTACGTCGAAGAAAATTAACCAATCACAATCGAATATGAAAAGAATAATCGACTATAATTGGTAAATTTTCAAGTCAAGACTCTACGATCGCTGGGCTGCGTTCATGAATTATGCCTAGATAATTCTAGAGTGCATTTTTGCTATAATATACGTAACTTATAGCTTAGAGTTATCTGGGTGTAATTCCTGAACGTAGCCCTATTGTAGACTTAAGACCCTACGACTTCTATTGTAGACTTCACATAACGCATTTGTAATGTCACGTTAACCGTATACTCTATATAATGTATATTGTAAATATTCTTGAAATGTGATTACTCTATTTTATTCTAAACAAAATAAATATGTTCTTTTTTAAATATTGTTTAGTTAATCTTTTTCAATCTCATAATAATCTACTTGCAGTGTGGATAGTATCTCTATACATGTATCTAACCTGTATCTGAGATACATTCAAATTCGAGTATTTGTATCTAGATAAAAAAAAACAACTGATTTTCAGATGTATTTTTCAGATACATTTCCTCAGCATAATCATAATTCCATTTTATGTGTGATTGTTGATTGATTCCATTCTGCAGAAAAAAAGCAGGTTTGCTGCAAAATTCTATAACATGATTGGTCTTTCCCTTCCCAGCAAACGAAAATGGATTGAAATGGATTAGAAATTTTCAATCCATCCGAATCCGTATTTTAAATCCATAAAAATGAATTAGATTCCATATAAAAAATTTTTATAGATGTAAAAGTTTAAATAATTTAAAGTAGTAATTACATGAAATTCTATAGTTGTTATTTTAAAACTTTTATACAAAAAATATACACTAGCTGTACAATAAAGGAAATGTATTAAAATAAGCATAAAAGCAATTGATTTATTAATTAAAAATAAGGAATTTACATACGTAACATTTATTGTACATATTTACGTAGTTCTTTTTATGTTTTTTGTAACTATTAAATAAAGTAGAATTTATAATATATTTTACGCAGAACAACTTTTTTTTAATTCAGTTGAATTAAAACGAAAAATTTCTTATTTATAATTCTAAATAAAATAGCATTCACATGATGCATTTTTAAATGAAACAATGGATTTTCTACTCACAATTTCGAATAGTATTCATGACACATTTTAAGAAAATGAGCTATTAAAAGAAAAACTTTTTTTTATTCAATTGGATTAAAAACCTGCATTTCCAATTCAAAATTTTGAATTTAGCAGTATTCACACAGAAATGGCTGATATCATTTTTAGATTCAACTGGATTGAAAAACTGCATTTTCTATTCAGAATTTTAAATTAAGCAGTATTCACGATGCACACAAAATACTATAATATTATTTTTAGATTGAAAAGCACATAGAAATATACTCCATGCCATTCCTATAAATGAATAAAAATGCATTTAAGATTGAAAAGGAATAGACATTTGTTTCATGCAATTCCTATAAATGAATAAAAATGCATTTAGGATTGAAAAGAATTCATTTTAACATTCATGAATCCGTATGTTTGAAAATCTGAATCCATTTTAATCCATTTCAATCCATTCTCGTTTACTGGGTTAGTTCCTCACTGGATCTAAATGATCTAAATGCAAATCAGTCATATTAAGGAATTTTACAGTTACACAGCTGCTTTTTCTGCTGAATGCAACCAGTAATCTTAGATTGTGGAATTTCTAACACATATATAGTTACGTTGGAAACACATGGCCGGTATTCGCATAGTCAGATCTTATATTCAAGACCGTCTTAAGTACAGTCTTAAGAAGTTACAAACCAATCGGAAGGCCGTATTATATAGCGTTTTAAGATATTATTTAAGACAATCTTAAAATAAGAACGGACTATATGAATACCGTCCTTTTAAACATTTTTAGTTTATAAAGCTATGATGAATAATGATGAATAATATCATCTTATAATTCTTATTCTAAATCGTTTTACGATAATGATAAGTTTTTTCAATTATCTAAATGTATAAAAATAAATGAATATAAATGATCGATTCATTTAATAACTAATACATTTTTTTACACATTACCATTATTACAATAAAATTAATTTAAGAGTACCTGAAATGTATCTGAAGATACTTTCAAAGTATTTGATATCTATACCTATATTTCAGTATGTGTATTTATATCTGTATTTAGATAAATTTTAAGAGTATCTTACCCATCACTGTTTACTTGATGCTATAACGAATATCTAATCTTTTTAACTATTTCCTTCTTTTTAATTTCAAATTTTTTTCATATATAAGAGAATAAAAAAAAGGTATAAATTTTAAATCACAAATTATTCTCCGTAATTTAAGTAATATAATAGAATAATTTGTATCTTAAAACCAAAAATATGCAAGGATAAGCAGACAATTAGATTGAAATTGTCATTTTCTAATTTACCGACATAAAGAAAAACTTTAAAATAAAAAAATAAATGAGACTTGAGCGACAATTTTCTTTCTCGGAATATAGGTATTCTGCATGAAAAAACATAAATTCACAGAATTACAAAAAATCGGAGGGAAGGCGTTGTGACTGAATATTTCTTTTTACAAAATAATCTTACGTAGATCGTGAAACAAATTTAATATTTTATTTGTAAATTATAGGAAGTAACAATTAACAGTATTTATATAGCAATGTATTTTTTCTTGTATGTACAATAAAAAACTCATTTTTAGAAAAATATTTTCAAATAATATCTTGTCGGTGGAAAAGAATATGATAAATCTAAATTAATGTAAAAATGAGATATCTCAATGATAAAATAGCCAATATATATTTTATATCAAATAACATAATAAAATGTACTAAATATGTCGTAGTTAATTCGTTTCTAAATTTTTATTAAACGTACAACTTTATTGATTTGTGTCCAACGGCTTTAAAGTGCACAGTGTGTTGCACTAGTTCTGCCAATGAAAAACTCTATTATCTTATCGCAGCAGCTGTTTAACTGACAACATGTCAGAACATGCTGCAAGTTCTTTTGATTAGAGTAGACAATCGGTGTAAAAGATTCATAATTATTCAATTACTGCAGCGATAAAGGAGATATTTTAAATTTTAACCGGTTTTAACCATTTTCTTATTGTATTATAGCGTTTTTTATTTGTTGATTCGATCCGACTTCGATGTTGTTTTTATATCTGTTCCATAATAATTGGAAATGTAGTTGGGATTGTATAATTGAAAGAATTGACGATATAATTATTTAGAATACAAACTACATCTCCGATTTTGATGAAATTAGGCTCATTCGACGCGTTTTTGCTTGAAACGAAAGAATCTGGCAAAGAAAAGCTTTTCATTTTTCTAGTTGAAGTAAAAAATAAATGAACTTCTAATTCATTCTTCTTAAGGATACCCCATAATTACTTCTTTTAAATATAGTTTAATAAAAACAGTATATTTTCATTATAAAAATAATTTTATTCCTAATATTTATTTAAAAATTTTCAATAATCTTCTCAATATCTTCAATATTATATTTTACTTCTATAAGCTATTTAAATTTTACCCACCTTATACCTTTCCCCACTAATATTTATAATACTTACATTACCATATACACAATTACACTAAAATAAACAAAAATAAATATAAATATATATAAT